AGTGGATCATGGGAGATGAGGATCTACTCTATAAACCTGACCACGGGGTCAGTCCACGAGCAGCGGCCCTGCAGGTGTGTCAACCTTACAGGAACAGATGAACACACACCAGTTATTTTGGGAGTGGTCTGTGGCTCTTTATTTGAAGAATGTGCTGTTTTTCATCGCTATCAGGAAACAGGATCAAAAGCCGTTTTCGATCACCTGAGTCTGAAAGCAGTTCGCATTCACTCTTTCCACGGGGCTATGACAAGTTTTCTGTTCCATGTCCCAATAGAATCTGAAGGAGTTTTTGATCATTTTGACATTCCACTATACTAATGACATTATGCTAATTGGATCTCATGAACAGGATATAGATATTTCTCTGGATGATCTGAGAAGACAAATTTGTATCAGAGAACAGAAGAAACACTAACACCCTCTCTCTTTTCACTTCTAAAATATTTTGTAGAGTTGCCTACACAACAACGTTTGCCTCCACTCCTGGGCTCTTCAAAACCACCGTTCCACCACAGCTGCTGTAGCTACCCATCCCCCCAAACTCCTTCATGCTTCATTCAGGAGTTACTTTTAAAAAAATTTTTTTCTTTATTGATTTTTAGAGAAAGGAAGGGAGAAGGAGAGAGATAGAAACATTGGTGAGAGAAAATATCAATTGGCCACCTCCTGCACGCCCCCCAAGGGGGATTTGGCCCACAACCTGGGCATGTGCCCTGACTGGGAATCAAACCAGTGACCTCTTGGCGTATGGGTCAATGCTCAACCACTGAGCCACACCAGCTGGGCTTTAGGAGTTACTTTTATGCAGTTATGTTACCTGTGAGACAAACTCAGTTATCTTCTTCTTTTTTTTTTAATCCTCACCCAAGGATATTTTTCCATTTATCTTCAGATAGAGTGGGAGGGAGGGAAGGAGGAAAAGAGAGAGAGAGAAACATTGATGTGAGAGAGAAACATCGATATGAGAGAGAAACATTGATGTAAGAGACACACATCGATTGATTGCCTCCTGCATGACCCCAACCTGGGCTGGAGTGAACCACAACCAAGGTATGTGCCCTTGACCAAAATCAAACTTGTGACTCATTGGTCCATGGGCTGATGCTCTAACCACTGAGCCAAATTGGCCAGGGCATCAGTTCTTATCTTTTTTTTTTTTTTTCTTTATTGATTTTAGAAAGAGGAAGTGAGAGGGAGAGAGAGATGAAAACATCGATGAGAGAGAACATCGATTGGGAATACCTCCTGCATGCCCCCCACTAAAGATTGGGCCCACAACCTGGGCTTGTGCCCTAACTGGAAATTGATTTTGTGCATGGATCGATGCTCAACTACTGAGCCACACCGGCCCGGCAGTTCTTATCTTCTTTTTTTTTAATCCTCACCTGAGGACATTTTTCCATTTTTTGTACAAGATAGAGTGGGAGGGAGAGAGAGGAAGGGAGAGAGAGAAACATCGACGTGAAAGGGACACATCGAGTGGCTGCCACCCGCACGACCAACCAGGGCCGGGGACAAACTGCAACCGAGGTACATGCCCTTAGCGGGAACCGAACCCGGGTCTCTCCGGACCGCAGGCCGATGCTCTAACCGCTGAGCCAAACCGGCCAGGGCAGTTCTTATCTTCTTGAAGGAAAGATTTCAATCAAGAGACAAAGTGCAGCAAAGCAAGCAAGAGTTTAATTGCCCGCAGCAAAAACACACTTAGGACAGTGAAACAAGGAAGGGCATAGAAAATGCAACAGGACAGCCTGGGCTGGGCTACTCTGGGTCACTGAGAAGTCAGAGAAAAGGGGGCCTTGGAGACAGGTTCAGGGGTAGTCTGGGAGGAGCTGCCTTAGCCCATTTCTCCCCTGGTTGCCTGTCTTATGGGGCCCCTTAGAGGGAAGAAGGGGAGAAGGAAATGGAAAGGGTGTGCCCCTGGGGGAGAGCACGAACTGGGTCCTTTGTGTTGAGGGTATTTCTCTCTGTCTTGCAGGTGGGACTCTTTGGGGAAGTCTCAGGGGAGGGTCTGATAGACTATTCATTAGCTCTCCAGGGGTGCTGTTTCAGGGTCATGGTTGGCACCATGGCAGGGGGTCATTAGTCAGTGCAGCTGGTCCTGAGGCAGCCAGGGCATCAATTGTCTGGTTTTACTGCTTTTCTGGGCCTGGAGCTGAAATATACCTGAGGCCCAGATGTTATCTTTAGGGAGGAAAAGAGCAGGGGGTCTAAACCACATGACCTGTGATATATTAGGGAAGGAAAGGTTACCCTGGGAGCAAGATTCTTGTTTTCTTGGTTTTGCTCCTTGCCAGGCACCCAGGGCTTTCTGTCCTGATGTCCTTCTGTACCTGGCCGAGCGTCCTTGTTCTGCTCACATCTGTCTAACTACCTATGAGAGTTATATTAATTTTCCTCTCAACAGTTTTGGGCAATCAAACATTACCTCTTTTATAAAATGACATTGGTGGGAAAATGGCCCTTATTCTATTTCATTGGTAGCTCCATTACATACCATTTTTTGGTGCGTCTCTACTGTTTATATCATAAATGCCTGGGTACCTAAGATTTGTGAGGGAGTACAGGAAATTATACATTCAGAGAAATTTATCCCTCAAAGGAGCTATAATTCCCTCTGGAAAGTGGAATTAGATTCTCTACAGTCATTTACTATGTCTGGGGATTGAAAGGGTTAATAACGTTCTAAAGGGTAAAAGGAAAAGCTTGAAAAAGGTGGAACTGTGAAAAATGCGTTGCTTATATGACCTTTGCCCAGCCTTCTGTGGAGTACGGATTATTGGATTATCGACAAGACGATGAATCACCCAGCAGATGCAGGATGTGATACCAGACCAGTCCAACTGCAAAGTGGACAATGGGCCAGGCAGAGTATGTCAGCAGGAACTGCCGGAAGCTAGAAGCAGAGTATATAACCTACACCCCAACTGTTATTGGAGCCTGACTCCTTTTTCAGGTTTAGCTTGCCTGTACCCAGGCGCGTGCAATAAAATCGTTTACTCTACATTAGCCTTTCGTGGATGTGATCTCCCACCAGCTCAGACCTTTGATTTGGTGTCAAAACTCCAGAGGTCTGTAAGGATCCTGCACAGGGGGCAACCTCGGGCCCCTGGAGTCCTCCGGGCCTCCTTTTGGACTGAGATCCATCACATCCTCCACTGGACACCGGACCTCCAACCTTTCCTGCTGACCGAGCATCAGCACCGGACACTAATTCTCCGGGCTGTCCTGTTATCCCCCATCCAGGACATAAGAGGGCCATGTCTCTTGGTCACATCTGTGTGATTGCCCCTCCAGAACGCCAGTGCTGGTCGGGACACACTCCTCAGGAACCAGGTTCCCTCAGCTCACCATATATCTGGGGACGCCTGATGTGGGTGAGTTGCAGGTCTCTCTACCCTAGGAGAGAAGCAGGGACGCCTTCTTCTTCCACTAGTGTATCCGTCCAGACCATTCTGCCGAAACGTCTCACACCACAACACAGAACAACACCCCAAGGATGTCTCCTAAAAAATCTACAGACCCTAGGGCCCATTCAGGACTTACATCCCAAGAAACTCGTTTTTTACTGCAACACTGTATGGCCTCAATGCAAATTAAACAATGAGTCACCATAGCCTGAGAACTCACTGTCCTAGACAATTTCTGTCAAAGGCAAGGAAAATAGTCTGAGGTTCCTTCCATCCAGGCCTTCTCTGCACTCAGAACACTCCCTCTTTATGCGATTCTCGCTCTCCCTGCCAAATCTTACTCCACTCTAATCCTCCCAAACCTCTCTCTGAAGACAGGGCGCTAACTTCTCCTGTTCCCTCCTTTAACCCAGCGATCTCGCTCCCTCCTTCCCCACCAGCCCCTCCAGCAGCCTCCTCCTCCAGCCCCTTCTGTGGGCCCCCACCCTAAACCTCCTACTCAGGCTCTGACTCCTCTACTGCCAAAAGCGATCGGGAACCATCTTTGGTCCCTATCCGCCCCCTACCTCGCATTTTAGAATGCTCCCTGAGGGAAGTAGCAGGAGCTGAAGGGATTCTCAGAGTTCATGTCCCCTTCTCTCTCTCAGATTTGTCCCAAATAAATAAAAGACTGAATCCTTTACTGAGAATCCCACCAATTATACTCAGCAATTCGAGTATCTTACTCAGTCCTATGATCTAACTTGGAATAATATTCATGTTATTCTCTCTTCCACCCTTAATCCGGAAGATAAAAATTGAGTTTGGGTTAATGCCCAGGGCCATGCCGATAATCTGAGGCGACAGGCCCCCACTAACCCGGTAGGGGCCAAAGCAGTCTCTCGCCAGGCCGCCAGGTGAAATGATAAGACGATGAGGTAGGTAGCAAAGCCTGGGACCATATGGTAATATGTCTCATTGAGCGAAATAAAAAAGCCTCACACAAGGCAGTTAACTATGAAAAACTGTCTGTAATAATCCAGGAAAGGAATGAGAACCCTGCAACCTTTCTATCCCGCCTTACACAGGCCATGCGAAGATGCATTAACTTAGATCCTACTAGCCCAGAAGGGACTGTCGTTTTATTTTTTATTTATTTATTTATTTTTTATTGATTTTTAGAGAGAGAGAAAGGGAGAGGGAGAGATAGACAGAAGCATCAATGAGAGAGAACATCGACTGGCTGCCTCCTGCATGCCCCCCACTGGGGATCAGGCCCACAACCTGGGCATGTGCCCTGACCTGGAATCGAACCGGCGACCTCTTGGTGCACCCAGGAGCATGCAATAAAATCGTTTTGCTCTACATTGGCCTTGCAATGTGGTATGATCTCCCATTGGCTCGTACTTTTTAGGATTTTTTGTTGTTGGTGGTGGTTTTTTTGTGTTTTTTGGTTTTTTTGCTGAGAAAAAAGGAAAGAAACAAGAATAGCTAGAGAGGGATGAACGATCAAGGAAAGATGTGTTTAAAATGTAATTGTGTGTACCCATGTGTGTGAGAGAAAGAGAGGGGAAGGATGGAAGAAAAGAGGAAAGGCTTTGACTTTTTGCCAGTCAGAACGCGCTCTCCCCTCCCATTCTCCAAGGAGAGAAAAAGAACGATCATCAGTGGCAAATGGCAGTTACCGAAGCAATGCCAAGAGCCGATTTCATGCTCAGGCGAGAACGCTGCATCTCCTCCTCCTGGTTTCCGGTTCTCTACACTATCAGAGAAACTTGTCTAGTAACAAGCTATAGACATGATCCCTGAAAGTCTAGTCTTTGGCTCATACCTTTTAGGGATATCTTCTCCTCATCACTCTGGAAATCGCGGGAAAGTTTATCCTCTAGTTAATATTGACATTCTCTTTGGGTACTGTCATTAACTACTAGTAATTGTTTACAATTATTTGCAAATTAACCACTAGTAATTGCTTACAATAATATTATTATTGTAGTCCTGGCTGGTTGCTCAGTGGTTAGAGCATCAGCCTGAGGACCAAAGGGTAGCAGGTTTGATTCCAGTCCAGGGCATGTATCTGGCTTGCAGGTTTGATCTTCGGCCCCCGGTCAAGGTCGTTCATGAGGCAACCAATCAATGTGTCTCTCTCACATTGATGTTTCTCTCCCCCCCCCCCCCGCCCTCCCTTTCACTCTCTATCTATCAAAAAAAAAATACCCATGGAAAAATATCCTCAGCTGAGGATTAACAAAAAAATTAAAAATAGTATTATTGTAATCTCTTTTGGAGAATTAGCATGATAGCCCTTTGCAGCCACTGTCATTCTTTCTGCAGATGATAGCTCTGGAAGGAGATGAGGTCAGAGATCGCCAAAGTTACAACCCAGAGTTGAGCTGCTCCTTGCCACACACACAAACTCACTCCCGAGCCACTGGCCCCAGGTGCGAGCTGCAGGTCTCTAGATAACCTCTGGTCCACATTCACCCCGATGCATCAGAAGCATGTCTGCCCGGCCCCCTGATCCTGACCTACCCTCCACCACAGGCCAAGTGGGCTGACTACAGGCCACCAGGGATTCCATGACTACCAGGTGTGACTCTGCTTAGAAGGAACATGTTTTGGGAACCAAAACTCAGTGTGAGCAGCTGCGACAGAACCATGCCCCTTGGCTGTCTGCATAGCTGCAGGGAGTGGACCTTGCCTACCCCAAGCAGCCTGTCAGGTCCTCGTATACCACCCGGACCCCAGGAGCTCTGGGCCTGTGGTCTAAGTGGGGCCCCTCAAGGGTGACCTCTCAAAACTATTCTCACCTCCCCCCACCCCAGGACTGGAATACCCAGATAGAAGGAAGGGGCCAAGGCCACAGTGCCCACCTTGCAGCTTGTGATGGAGCTGCCGCCTCCCGGACGCATGGTCAGGGGTTCTCCCAAGGCTTCCTGAATTGAGGGTTACCAACTAGTGTATTCAGGAGTCATGTCCTAACAGTGTGCCAGGGACACGTCTGTGAATAGGCTGCTGCAGGGTCACTGCAGGAGGTGAACAGGGCAATGCAATACAGAGTACTTTTTTTGTTTGTTTTGTTTTTTAATTTTTTTTCCTTTATTGATTTTAGAGAGAGAGGAAGGGAGAGGGAGAGAGAGACAGAAACATCGATAAGAGAGAACATTGGCCACCTCCTGCATGCCCCCACACTGGGGATTAGGCCCACAACCTGGGCATGTGTCCTGACCACTTGGTGCATGATTCTACCCTCAACCACTGAGCCACACTGGCTGGACAACTACAGGGTACTTTGTGTTTTGTGTGTGTGTGTGGTACGTGCCCCTGGCAGGAACCGAACCCGGGACTCTCTGGCCCGCAGGCCGATGCTCAACTGCTGAGCCAAACTGGCCAGGGCACTACAGGGTACTTTGTAACCTGCCTGACTCCCCAAGTGCCAGCCATCATTCTTACTGTACACAGTCTCCCTGACATGGAGCACCTGGCCCCTCTGAAGCAGCCAGGCAGGCTGGTAACCAGAACTGCAGACCATCTTAACATAATTTGTCATTTGTTTAATTGTATTCTTTTTCCTAAACATGACTCCATGTTATTTAAGCTTCACACCCCCAAAACCTGGACTCACCCTCTTCTGAGGATTGAATGAAGGGGGATAGCAGAGTGGGCGGAGTGGATGGTAGAAGAACAGGGAGCCTGGGCCATGCAGGTCCGTGGAGCTGGAGGGGATTGCCTGCCCAGAGCTGCACTATTTCGGGGGGCAGGGTGTAAGCGGTACCATGAATTTTGTTTGGGTGCAGTCTGGAGAGTCCCCTGGCTCTAGGGTACAGGCAGGGGGTGCCCCGGGCTCTCAGGTATAGGGACTCCTTGGGGTCCTGCTCCCAGCTCTGGGGAAGTTGGCCTCAGCTGCTCCTGGCTGGAGTGAACATGTTACACAGAGGCTGCCCAGGATCCAAAAGGGGAAGTGGCCAAGAGTCTGGGTTGCAGGAATGGCCTGTGGCTCCCTGTGGAGGGTCTGTCTCTGGCTATCCAAAGATCATTTTGTTTACCTTGGCCTCCAGCCTGCAGGCCCATGACAAATCTGGCCCCTCCTGCCTGACCTTACCTAGCCTTCCCCAGGGGCAGTGTGCAAAATATTCCGGTAGGCAATCTCCAGTTTGGGCTGGTTTTAGGGAGTGTGTGTGTGTGCGTGCGCGCGCGCCTTCAGCAGACTTGCTAAATGGCAGGCACACAATTCGGCCAGGAACAAAACTTTTGGTGGGCTGTACCCTTCTCACCAGGGTGCTTGGGAAGAGACTCGCTCTGCCTAGAGTTTGGAAGAGCACCAGATGGAGGGACCTGCAGGCGTGGGGGTGGGGTGGGGGTGCCTACCCCCTAGCCACACACTCAGCCCTTCTGCCCTAGCACCGAGTTCACACAGTGAGGTCATGAAGGGGCACAGTTTGGCCTTGGCTCTGGCAAGGACTTAACAGGACTGAGGAGGTGGATGGGGGCACTGGGGATGGGAAGGAGGGGGCGTGAAGCAGGGGAGCAGAATGGGGCAGAGGGGCTGCGGGGATGGATGGCCTTTTTCCAATCCTCTGGTTGGGAGGAGAAGGGGCCGACCTCAAGGGCTCATGCCCCACGCAGCAGTCCTGGGACTGTTGGGGGCAGGCCGGGAAGGGTGTGGGGACCTGGAGACCCCCTTGTCTCAGCAGCTCAGTCATGGCGCTGTGGGCTCTGCGTTGAGCTGGGGACAAGGCAAATCCAAGCCCAGTGGAGTGGACACTGCACGTATGGAGCAAGAGCAGAGGGGACTTTATGAACACTTAACAATCCAATATGGAGTCACTGTCAGCCATGACAGTGAAGTCAAGTGCTATGTCAAGACGGAGGTAGTGAGGTGTGATGGGAAAGCCCAAAACCACAAGTCTGGACACTCAGATAAGGACTCCATCTAGACACTCATGTGAGTGGAACCTCCACCCCTTTGTTGCTATAACAACTCAAAGCTCCAACCACCCAATGCTGGAGCTGGGCAGTAACATGGTCACACTGGAGCCCTGCAGACTTGCACTCCCCGGATGTGCAGCAACGCTAGCCCACTGGCTTGAGTTTGGAAGAGCACCGGATGGAGGGACCCACACCCCACACTCCACCTGTGAGGCCGCCAGTGACCTGGACTTGTGCCAGATGCTGGCTCCTCTGGCTTCTACCGCTAAGCTCCCCCTCTCTGTGTGTAACCTGCGTGGGACTCTGTTGGTTTATTGGGGGTGGTGCCCTAATAAACCTGCAGATATAGCCATTTACAGTATTGTGTAAATATCTGAAGCAATCTTTAATCTTTAAAAGATCTGAGCTGGCGGGAGATCACATCCACAACACAAGGCCAATGCAGAGCAAAACGGCTTTATTGCATGCACCTGGGTGCAGGTTGGTTGAGCCGAGAAGGGTTCAGCCTGGAATTAGGGTTGGGGTGTTGATTATATACCCTACTTTTAGCTTCCGGCAGTTTCTGCTGATGTACTTTATCTGACCCATTGTCCACCTTGCAGTAGGGCTGGTGTGGCATCTGCTGGGTGATCCATTACCTTTTGGACAATCCAGATAAACCTTAATCTAATCCATACTCAACAAAAGGCTGCGTCAAGGTCATGCAAGCAACACAATTTCCAGTTTCCGCCTTTTGCAAACTTTTATCTTTACCCTTTATAACATTACTAACCCTATCAATCCTGAATAGAGCTAAAAATGTAGGAATTCAAAAATTGGGTATGACATCACTAAAATGGTAGGTTCAGGTTTGGCAAGAACAAGGAGATTTTGGAGTGGTAGTGGACAGTACAAACCACCCTCAGAAAACTGAAACAGGAACTCCAAGATTCACAGAATTTGGGTTCGAGTTGTGTCAACAGTTCCTAACTTTAAAGGTCACTCTCTTCCACTGCCAGCCATGTGACTTTGAAAAGACACTACGTCTCAAACCCGCCCCAACACACATCACTTCGTGACCAGTGAAGTGAACATATAAATATCTTGTCCAGCCAGTTTCTCAGAAAAACTGTAGGAGTCACAGCAGGTAAAGTGGCCTTATTAATCAGCAAACTTTTGAGTAGCAAAGGGGTTATATTCTTTATTATTTGTTTTTACTCAGGGAAGGTCTTGGGTGGAAATTATCTAGATGTATAATTTGCTTGGAAAATGTGTAGAAAAATGTATAGAAACTTGCAGGTAATGCCAATCAGCTTGTACTGTAACATTTTCAATAATGCAAGTGTGTTGGTAAGTACTCTGTGGTTTTCATTTTATTTTATTTTTTTTCATCCTCACCTGAGGACATTTTTCCATTTTTTGTACAGATAGAGTGGGAGGGAGAGAGAGGAAGAGAGAGAGAGAGAGAGAGAGAAACATCGATGCGAAAGGGACACATCGAGTGGCTGCCACCCGCACTACCCATCCAGGGCCGGGGCCAAACTGCAACCGAGGTACGTGCCCTTAGCGGGAACTGAACCCGGGTCTCTACCCACCGCAGGCCGACACTCTAACCGCTGAGCCAAACCGGCCAGGGCTGTGGTTTTCATTTTAGTAATGTTATTGTAAGAACGAAGTGGAACGAGGCGGTGCAGGGTCTCCAGAAGTGCAGGTTTATTGGGAATCAGCCTGCTAGACTACCTCTAAGAAGAGGGTAGGAACCGGCTTGTACAGACCAGGGATTTTTAAACTCAGGGCTGGGTGGGGGGGGGGGGTGTTGTTCAGCTGAGGAGATGTGGTCACCTTTGATTGGTTGGGCCGGGGGTCTCCCGAGTTCTTAATTGGTCCGGGGCTGGGGTCTCCTGAAACTTGTTTTTCTTATTGAACAACCTTTGCACTTTTGAGTGGGTTAGGGTGGTTCCATCATTCATTCCACCTGACTGAGTGATGGGTTTTGGTTTTCTGGAATGAGAGGCTTAGGGCAGTAATATGGAAGTTAAGAGCTAACAGTTATTAGTTACTAAATATTAATACCAGAGTAATACTGTTAGGGGAGATTAGGAATATGGGAGTGTTTGTTTTGTCCCTTCCTATTTCTTACTGTCTATTGATCTACCTGTGTCACTGCACTTCCTATAGTGATTGCCCTTCTTACTCAGGGATAAATATCAGCTTTTAAATATTTCAATGAAAATTTTTGGTGTTTATTCTTTATCAAAAAATCCCTTGCAGATATTTTTTTATGACCTCTTTTTCTGGCATCTTCTAAAATTCTGTGTTTGAGATCCTTTTCTCTAATGTTTATTCTAAGCAAATGAACTGAGCAATGAAATTGCATCAGACACCGTTCGTTCTAAATAACCTGAGGAAAGAACATAACTTAAAGTATTTAGACTTCGTTTCTTGACCATGAGGGGTCTGTGTGAGAATCTGAACTTCATGTAGAGTTTTCTATCCTGCTATCAAAAGTTGTATTATGCCCTGGCCGGTTTGGCTCAGTGGTTGGAGCCTCGACCTGTGGACCAGAGAGTCCCGGGTTCGGTTCCCACTAGGGGCACGTACCAAAAAAACAAAACAAAAAAAAAACCTACTAACAAAAGTTGTATTATTTCCACAGCTCTTCTGCCACCATGAAGGGGACATTCTTGAACACTGTCCTTGTTCTGGCCATCTCCCTGGGGGTTGCCTTTGCAGCTGGTGAGTTATATGTCTTTTCTGCAGTATATCCAGGATCATGGGGAAATTAGAGGTAGAAGTGGAAGTGCCATTCAGTTTTAGATCATCCTAATTCCTCATGTTACAGATGTAGAAACCGACCCCCCCCCAAAAAAAAAATAGAAGGGAAGAAGGAATAGAGCTATATAGGAGTAACATTTCTAAATGTCACTTGAGTTAAAATGGTATAGGTTTGAGGTACATTTTGATAAGATAGATATGGTAAGCCATAATACAACTACTAAAAATATTCAGAAAAGATTGTGAAAAAATTTTTATGGGAATTACAATGTTACACTAGATTATATTCACTTAATGTAGCAAAGGAGGAACAGGGAAGCAAAAAGATATGAGACATATAGAAAACAAAAAGTAAAATGCCAGATGTAAATCTAACAATATCATAAAAACATTACATGTAAATGAATTTCACAATCCAGTCAAAAGGTAGAAATTTGAACTTCTTAGATTAAAAAAAAAAGAAAACAAGATCCAAGTATATACTGGAGATACATTTTTTTTTTTATCCTCACCTGAGGACATTTTTGCATTTTTATCTTCAGTTAGAGTGGGAGGGAGAGAGGGAGGAAGAGAGAGAAACATTGATGTGAGAGAGATACGCTGCCACCCACATGACCCCAACCGGGACCGGGGACAAACTGCAACTGAGGTACATGCCCTTAGCAGGAACTGAACCCCAGACTCCCTGGTCCCTGGGCCAACGCTCTAACCACTGAAAACGGGCCAGAGCTGGAGATACACTTTTTTGGGCAGAAACGGAAAAGCTGATCCTAAAAATCATATGGATATGCAAAACACTGAGAGTGTCTAAACAATCTTGAAAAAGAACAAAAATGTGGAAAGTGCTCTCACTTTCCAATTTCAAAACTTACAAAGTAACAGATATCAAGAGAGTATAATATTAGCATAAGGGGAGAAATACATATCAATGAGATAGCATTGAGACTCCAGAAGAGCGGTTCTCAACCTGTGGGTCACGACCCCTTTGGGAGTCTAATGACCCTTTCACAGGGATTGCCTAAGACATAACAGTAGCAAAATTATAGTTATGAAGTAGCAATGAAAATAATTTTATGGTTGGGGGTCACCACAACATGAGGAACTGTATTAAAGGGTCGCGACATTAGGAAGGTTGAGAACCACTACTCTAGAAGAAAAAAAAAAGACCTTACTTTTAAGGTGAATTGATTTTAGCAAGGTTCCAAAACAAGTTGATGGAGAATTGTCTTTTCAACAAATGCTGCTGAGTCAACTGGATAGCCACATGCAACAGAATGAACATAGACCATTTCCTCCTGTCATAGACAAAAAATTAACTTAAAATGGATCACAGAACTGAATGTAAAGCTAAAATTATAAAACTATTAGAAGAAAATACAAGTGAATTTTCATGGCCTTAAGCTAGGCAAAGCCTTCTTAAATATGACACCAAAGGTAGAAGGAACAAAAGAAAAAATAGGTAAATTGGAATTCATCAAAACTAAAAAACGTTAGTGATTCAAATGATACCAATAAAGGTAACAATAAAGTGAAAAGACTACCCAAAGAATGGGAGAAATTATGTGTAAAGCACATATCTGATAATGAAGTGCTATGCAGAATATATAAAGAACTCTTACAACTCAATAATAAAGACTTAAAATAGTCAATTAAAAAAAAAAAATAGGCCAGCCCAGCTAGTGTGGCTCAGTAGTTGAGCATCAACCCATGCACCAAGAGGTCGCCAGTTCGATTCCGGGTCAGGTCAGGGCACATGCCTAAGTTATGGGCCAAATCCCCAGTGGGGGGCATGCAGGAGGTAGCCAATGATGTTCTCTCTCATCGATGTTTCTCTCTCTCCCTCTCCCTTTCTCTCTCTCTAAAATCAATAAAGAAAAAAAAAAATAGGCTAAGTATCTTAATAGACATTTTTCCAAAGAAGATACACAAATGGCCAATAAGCACATGAAAAGATGCTCAACATCACTGGCCAGTAGGGAAATATATATCAAAATTACAATGAGATACCTCTTTGTACCCATTATGATGACTATAATAAAAAAGAGATAATAACAAATGTTAGCAAAGATGTTAAGAAATTGGGACACTCATACACTACTGTTAGGAATGTAAAATGGTGCAGCTTCTTTGGAAAATAGTCTGGTAGTTCTTCAAAAAGTCACCATATGACCAGCAAATTCCACTCTTAGCTATATACCCAAGAGAAATTAAAACACATGGCCACACAAAAACATGTGCATGGATGTTCATAGCAGCCTTGCTCATAATAGCCAAAAAGTGAAAACAACTAAAAGATCCATTAACTGATTAATGAGTAAATAAAATATAGCCCTAGCCAGTTTGGCTCAGCGGTTGGAGCGTCGGCCTGTGGTCCGGAGAGACCCAGGTTCGGTTCCCACTAAGGGTACGTACTTCGGTTGCAGTTTGTCCCCGGCCCTGGTTGGTCGTGCGGGTGGCAGCCACTCGATGTGTCCCTTCACGTCGATGTTTCTCTCTCTCTCCCTTCCTCTCTCTCCCTCCCACTCTATCTGTAAAAAAATAAAAATAAAAATAAATAAATAAAATATAGTATATATAGTGTCTTTTTTTTAATATATTTTGGAGAGAGAGAAACATCGACGTGAAAGGGACACATCGAGTGGCTGCCACCCTCACAACCCAACCAGGGCCGGGGACAAACTGCAACCGAGGCACATGCCCTTAGCGGGAACCGAACCCGGGTCTCTCTGGACCGCAGGCCGACGCTCTAACCGCTGAGCCAAACCGGCCAGGGCAAAATATAGTATATATAAACAATGGAATATTATTTCATTATAAAAAGGAATGAAGTACTGATGAATGTTATATCATGGATAAACCTTTAAAACATTATGCTAAGTGAAAGAAGATAACACATAAGACTACATATTATGTGATTCAAGTTATATAAAGTTTCCAGAAAGGACAGAAAGTAATCTAGTATGGGGAGGGGGAGGGGGAAGGGGACGTATGTTGAGGAAGGAATGAGAAGTGACTGCTGATGGGTACAGGGTTTCTTTTTGGTGTTGAAAATGTTCTAAAACTGATAGTGATGATGGTTGCACAACTTTATGAATTTAATAAAAAACATTGAACTGTACATTTTATGTTATTTTATTTATTTTTTATTAATTTATTTTTGTTACAGATGTTTCTTTTTTTCCCCATTGACACGCTCCTCCCCATCCCCAGCTTTGTTGTCCGTGTCCATCGGTTATGCGTACATGCATATAAGTTCTGTGGTTTATCTCTTCCCTCCCTCCCCAACCCCTCTTCTGAGGGTTGTCAGTCTGTACCCTACTTCCACATCTCTGGGTCTACCCTGTTCCTCACACTGTTATGTTCATTATATTCCACAAATAAGTAAGATCATGTGATATTTGTCTTTCTCTGCTTGGCTTGTTTCGCTTAGGATAATATTCTCCAGGTCCCTCCATGTCGTCTCAAAGGATAAGAGATCTTTCTTTCTTACAGCTGCATAGTACTCCATTATATATATGTACTACAGCTTTTTTATCCATTCATCTACTGATGGACACTTGGGCTGTTTCCAGTTCTTAGCTATTGTAAATAGTGCTGCTATGAACATGGGGGTACATATATTCTTTCTGATTGGTGTTTCAGGCTTCTTAGGGTATATTCCTAGAAGTGGGATCATTGGGTCAAATGGCAATTCAATTTTTAATTTTTTGAGGTAACACCATAGTGTTTTCCATAATGGCTGCACCAGTCGAACTGTACATTTTAAATATGTGAATTCTATGGTATGTGAATTATATCTTAAGAAAGCTGATATATTATACAAGGGTGGGCAAAGTAGGTTTACAGTTGTGAATATGTGAACCAGTTTATTTTTGTATTATTTATTAATTAATTATATTATTTATTTGTATTACAACTATAAACTTACTTTTGCCCACACCTGTATAGAGTTGATAATGTTATAGTTATTATATAATATAATTATATTTATATAATTATATAACATATTATATAATAACTATATCAGATAATTATAATATATACTATAATTATATTATATATGTTATATACACATATATGAATAATTGCAAAGACTACTTTGAATCCAGAATATGTAAGTCTTAATGAAACCCAGCATCTTTTAAGATATCTCAATATAATTATTTTATAGTAAGTTGTAACTTAAAGGTTTTTTTTTTTAACTTTTTTATCCTTACCAGAGGATATTTTTGCATTTATATTCAGATAGAGCAGGAGGGGGAGGGAGAGAAACATCGGTGTGAGAGACATACTGAGTGGTTGCCACCCGCAAAACCCCAACCAGGGCCGGGGACAAATCGCAACTGAGGTACGTGCCCTTAGCGGGAACCAAACCCAGGACTCCCCAGTCCGTGGGCCAATGCTCCAACCGTTGAGCCAAACTGGCCAGGGAAAGGGTATTTTTTAAAAACAACTGAAAAGGCCCTGGCCAGTTTGGCTCAGCGGTTAGAGCGTCAGCCTGAGGTCCAGAGAGACCCGGATTCGGTTCCCACTAAGGGCACGTACCCAGGTTGCAGTTTGTCCCCGGCCCTGGATGGGTTGTGCGGGTGGCAGCCACTCAATATGGTCCTTTCACGTCGATGTTTCTCTCTCTTCCTTCCTCTCTCTCTCCCGCTCTATCTGAATAAAGAAAATGGGAAAATGTGCTCAGGTGAGGATAAAAATAAATAAATAAATACATACATACATACATACATACATACAACTAAGGATTATAGACATTGTTTTTTTTTTGTTTTTTTTGGTTTTTTTTTTATCCTCACCCGAGGACATTTTTCCATTTTTTGTTCAGGTAGAGCAGGAGGGAGAGAGAGGAACAGAGAGAGAGAGAGAAACATCGATGTGAAGGGACACATCGAGTGGCTGCCACCTGCACGACCAACCAGGGCCATGGACAAACTACAACCGAGGTACGCGCCCTTAGCGGGAACCGAACCCGGGTCTCTCAGGACCGCAGGCCGATGCTCTAACCGCTGAGCCAAACCGGCCAGGGCAGTTGTTTTTTTTTTTTTTGTTTTTTTTTAATTGATTTTAGAGAGAGAGGAAGGGAGAGGGAGAGATAGAAACATCGATGTGAGAGAACATCGATTGGCCACCTCCTACATGCCCTCCCTCCCCCCCCCCACTAGGGACTTGGCCCACAACCTGGGCATGTGTCCTGACCACCTGGGCATGTGTCCTGACCGAGAATCGAGCTGGCAACCACTTGATGCATGGGTTGACACTCAGCCACTGAGCCACACCGGCTGGGCTAACACATTGTTATTTATCTGAAAAGTAGAAAGGGCTGGAATTAAGATCTCCATTTTACATGAGGGAGGGGGGCAGAAGCTTCCCAATTCTTCTCTTCTTTAGAGGGTAGCATGCATCAGAGAGGAACTTCAGCCTTTTCTGATGGGATTCAAAGCTTCCTGTGTGCCAAGCAGCTATCACCCTAGCTATCTTCCCTGAGGGCAGAAGACAGAGCAGCAACTTTTCTGAAGCTGTTTTTGTCTTTCAGAATTCCCTCTTCCTACAGGCAAAGGGGCTAGCTTCAAAGAAACAAAGGTAAGCTCTGCTTCTTTGCTTCCCATTCCTGTTCTGCTTCCCAAGAACAGGAATGGAGAGAAAACCAGTTTCCCTAATAGCCCCAGCTCTTTCTTCTGGGCGTTGGGGGCCAGAGGAGACTTGCATGGGAATACCACCATAAAAGCCGAGTCATCAGCCCTGGCAGTTAAAGCGTTGGCTCTTGACTGTAGGGTCGATTCTGGCCCTGGTCAGGGTTGTGCAGGAGGCAACCTATCGATGTGTCTCTCTCACATTGATGTTTCTCTTTCCCTCCCTCCCTTCCTTCCACTCTCTAAAAATCAATGGAAAAATATCCTTGGGTGAGGATTAACAACTACAACAACAACAAAGCTGAGTCATAAACTACATGTGGCACATTTTTATGTTCCTGAGCCCTCTTTCCATTCCTTATCCCTATCAGTTCATGTAACTTTCTTGTGGGCTAGAAAGCAAGTATTTTGCATCACTAAATAAATGATGAAGTCATGGCTCAAATTCAAGTCAGTCTTATGCTATAGTGGACATTCAGCTGGGATATACTAAGACACACATCCTGCCTCCCACACACGAAGGTCCCTCAATGCATTCACTTTGTCCCCTTCCTTATGCATCCTAGCTCTGCTGTGAAAGTTTGAGCCCACTGCTGTCTGAAGCACCACACACAAGTCACTCAGTCATGTTCATAAGGAAATTTTAACCTTGAAAGACATTTTCTCTTCTGTAACCTAACAATCACAATTTGCGGTTGGGATTGTTATGTTACAATACACTATATTATATTAATTATACTGTGTATATTATATTAATTATATTATATTATATATTGTTGATAGTAAATGCCAGGGGTCAATCTCAGACTTCTGAAGCCTGGTCTCTGAACTCCTGGCCTAGTGCTCCTGATTCCCTCCCTCTCCCCCAGTACCAGTGACAACAGTCAGAGGACCTGGAGGAAAGCATCTAAAATAAGTGTGTGTCTTACCTGCAGGCCATATGCACCAACTATATAAGGAAGTGCTGGTTCATCAGCTACATCTCACCAAGTAGATACCTCTGTGGCAGTGACAAGGTTACCTATAATGGTGAATGTGACCTCTGCTATAGAATTGTGTAAGTCTTCATTTTATTCTCCCTTCTCTCAAGTCAGGAGGTTAAAGGTGGCAAAGATAGGATGACCTCCTCAGAAGGCTTCCTACTGGTTAGATCTTCCCTCCAGAAACTACTCCATGATTTGCTCCTCCACTTCTTCCATTCTTCCCTATGCCCCCAAGTGACCTCATTCACACAATGCAGAAACGGAAACCCCCTGAGGTGAGGGTGCTGTGTTTGGCCTGAACAAGGATCGGTTGAGAAAAACATGCCTTCCCCCCCCCCCTTCATTTTACTTTTATTTATTGATTTTTTTTGTTTTTACTGATTTTTTTAGAAAGAAATAGAGATAGAAACATCGACCTGAGAGAGATGCATCAATTGGTTGCCTCCTGCATGCTCCCTAATGGGGATTGAGCCCACAACCCGAACATGTGCCCTGACTTGGAATCGAACCAGGACCTCTCAGTCCATGGGACCACGCTCAATCCTCAGAGCCATACCGTCCCTGGGCCCCTCTTCATTTTATTAATATGATGTTATTACATTGGTTGATATTTTTAGGTTGAATCACCCTGCGCTCTTGGGAAAAATCCCACTTGATCATGGTGTATAATCCTTTTAATATTCTGTTGGCTTCGATTTGCTAACACTTAGTTGAAAGGGATATTTGCCTGTAGTTTCCTTTTTTTTTTTTTGGTGATGTTCATGTCTGTCTTTGTTATCATGATGATTCTGGCTTCATAAAAAGATTAGGGAGTGTTTATTCCTCTTCTATTATTTGGAAGAGTTTGAGAAGGGCTGGTATTAAATCTTAAAACATTTGTTAGAATTTACTAATGAAGACATCTGATCTTGACTTTTTCTGTTAGGAGGTTTTTTATTACTGATTCCATTTCTTACTTGATAAAGGTCTGTTGATTTTGTTTCCTCTTGAGTCAGGTTAGGCAATGTTTGTGTTTCTAGGAATCTGTCCACTGCATCTAGGTTATCTAATTTATCGATATACAATTGTTCATAGTATTCCCTTATAGTCATTTTTATTTCTTTAGGGTCACTAGTAATGCCTTAATTTTTGTCAAATGCATACTTTTAATGTATAGTCTCTTTCTAATACTCTGTATTTCTACTTAAATATTCAAGATTATGCCCTGGCCGGTTTGGCTCAGCGGTTGGAGCGTCGGCCTGTGGTGCAGAGAGACCCGGGTTCGGTTCCCGCTAAGGGCATGTACCTCGGTTGCAGATTGTCCCCGGCCCTGGTTGGTCATGCGGGTGGCAGCTACTCGATGTGTCCCTTCACATCGATGTTTCTCTCTCTTCCTCTCTCTCCCTCCCGCTCTATCTGAACAAAAAATGGAAAAATGTCCTCGGGTGAGGATAAACAAACAAACAAAAAAAGATTACTTTGAATTTTCTATATTTGATTTAAGGCTGAGTATGTTTTATACATTCAATCTCTATGACAAATAAAGATCTATGTAGTAGGTATTTTTAAATATTTATTAAATAAGAATTTGATTTTTAAAAAGAAAGAAAAAAAAATTCACTATTAGCAGAAAGTTTCCTTCTCAAACTTAACTAAAGATTAGCAAGTAAAATTAATCATAATATATCACAGAGCAAAAATAATAATTTCAAAATATTTCTTTCAGATATGAAAAGCTTAAAAATGTAACTAAACTGCACAATGGACCATGTGTAAGTAAAGTCATTTTTATTTTTCATTTTTAGGAGCAAACCAAATTTAGTTAAGAGCTCACTGTTGTAGAGAGTTTTAAATATTTTGTTATGAAAAATTTCAAGCATACACAGAGACAGTATAATAAACCTCACATGCCTATCATATAGATTCTACAAAATACAAAATGTAAAAGAAAAAAAAAAAAGTATTTGCCACATTTCCTTTCTCTATTATTTCCTTTTTCTTTGCTGAAGTTTATTAACACAAATCTCAGACGTCATGTCGTTTCACTCCTACTACTTCAGAGTGCATCACTAGGAAGTGGACATTTCCTTGCACACTGACAATGCTGTTTTACATCTAATTAGTTCCTTACCTTCTAACATACTTCAGGCTCAACTTTTCCCAGCCATCTCAAAAATAATATCTTCTGGGTAAAGAAATGTATGTTGGCCTGATAATTCAACAGTAAAGAACATATATTCCACCCTTTTCCTCCCCTGCCCTGTCTAATGTCTGGGATAGTGACAAAAGACACTAATTGGAAGTGGAAGGTTGTCCTCCGAGTGAATGGTCCAGGCCTTGCTTGCCCTACTCTAGATATTGTGCCTTTGGATTTAGAGTCAGAGGACAAAGTGAGAGCTCTGCTGATGCCAGAGAGATCACTATAGTGTTCTGAGGCATGGAAATGGGACTGGGACAAATCATCTTGGAAGAGAAAGAAGGTGGCAGGTGTCCAATAGCCTGGGAACTGGCGCCAGGCAAACTGTTCAGACATTACCTTGCTTACCCAACCTAGACTCCCACCCTGTCTCAGGAACTGTTTGCCCCGAACTCAGATCAACTCCTGTCCCATTCTCCTGTCCTAGTCCAGGAACTGTTTGCTCCGGGACAAGAGACTCACATTCCAGGGTCCCCCATGCGTAGCCCCGCAGGACCTAACCCTAACAACAAATTCCCGCTGCCATAGGCGCAGATATAAAAATCACAAACCCCGGCATCGGGCACGGCTTCTCGGACTCGACCCCCGGAGTCTGTGAACCCGCCCGGAGTGTACCCAATAAAGCCTGATTTCTGCTTATTCCGCTGTTTGGCTCTTCAGTTTCTTCCCGCCTCCCACCGGCGGCGCCTGGCTACCTTACAGCAGGTGAAGCAGATGAAGACAATTATATAATTTTATAATAATTGTATGACAGTATCTCCTGACACAATCTCAATGACAAATTCACAGGGCTAGTCTGATTTATGGACCAGCGTACATACTACTCACTGGGAAGTCTATAACTGGAGTGTTCTCTACTTCCACTAAAGAGAAATCATAAAGACTTTTCATGATTTGGGGGTAATTGTAATGAGACCTCACATGACCTCTACTTCTGTCAGATTCTTTTGAACTGAGCTAATTCATAGAATATCCTGTTGAATCCCTTCCTCTTATATCTGGGCCACAGCCCTTGTCAATTAAACCTCTGTTCTTAAGTCCATTTCAAACGTATAACTTCAAAAAAGTGCTTTTAAATGGAAGGATATCCATTGTTAGCTCTTAACTTCCATATTATTGCCCTAAACCTCTCATTCCAGAAAAACAAATCCCATCACTCCAGTCCCGCAGAATGATGGAACCACCCTAACCCACCCAAAACTGCAAAGGGTCGCTGGACAAGAAAAACAAGTTTCAGGAGACCGTAGCCCCCCACCAATCAAGAACTCGGAAGACCCCAGGCCCGACCAGTTAAAGATGACCACATCTCCTCGGCTAAATGACACCCCCCACAGCCCTGAGTTTAATAATCCCTAATCTGTACAAGCCGGTTGCTACTCTTTCCTTAGAGGTAGTCCGGCAGGCTGATTCCCAATAAACCTGCTCTTCTGGAGACCCTGCACCGCCTTGTTCCGCCTCGTTCTTACATCCATAAAATGTCTTTTGGCAGAATTTCTTTTTCCTTGGGGAAGTCAGTATTTTGTTCTATCCAGGCCTGATTGGATGAGGCTTTACTCAGTCCTCTGATTTAAATGTTAATCTCATCCAAAAACACCCTCTCAGAAATGTTCAGAATGTTTGACCAAATACTGGGCACCGTGGTCCAGCCAAGTTGATACGTAAAATTAACCGTCACAAAGCCTGTGCCTGGAAGCACTAGTTAGAAGACAGCCGCAAAGCCCCTGCCCAGGGACCACTATGTGAGTGAGCGATGAACTCATTTTATTCTTTTCATTTTTGTCTGTTTACTAAGTGGTACTTCAGTCTGCCTAAGACAAAAATGAAGATACTGTAATTATCAAACTGCAGGTGGGCTGAATCACAACACTAACACTGTTAAGGGGGTTCTGAAATTCTGCTGGATGCATGATAATCCTACAAAATCAATAACATTTCTTTATAGCAGTAACACCCAACTGGAAAATAAAATAAAAAATAATACTTCATTCAAAATAGAAACAAAAACTATGAAGTATCTGGAAGTTAACCTTTCTCCTCACGACTTCCAAAAACTTTAAAACTCAACCAAAGGATATTTATCATATGGAGAGACAGTCCACACTCCTAGCTTATAACTCAAGTTTATGACTGCCCTCCCCTTCTCCCCCGGCTCTCCTGGGGTCTAAAAGACTCAGAGACATCCACATTAGCTCTCCTCTTCTCTGCCCACTTCCACTCTGTGCTTTTTTTCTTCTTCAGTGAAATTAGAATATGTCTAGTCTGCCTTAATTCATCGAATAAGCATTCCTCCTGCTGGACTATGGGCGTAGTTACCAATGTAGTAGTTTTTCTCTTAATTTCCCCAAGTTTGATTTCTCTGAGCAGATACTTTTTTTACAGGAAAACTCCTGAACTTAACAAGAACACATATAGGACCTACAGAATCCCCAGATGATCGAGTGAAACATAATGGTTGTCTCTTAAAGTATATCCCCTTCAGCCCTGGTTGATTTGGCTCAGCAGTTGGAGCATCGGCCTGCGGACCAGAGTTCCAGGTTCGCTTCCCACTAGGAGCACATACATACATACATAAAGTACATCCCCTTCAGAGGAGAATGCTGGCACTGGACGAAACCAGCCATTGGGATCAAACTTGTTGGTTTGTTTCTTCAGTAAATGATTCTCAGCAGAAAATCTGGGTGGCAAACACTTTTCTTGGTAAAAATCTTTTTTGTTGTTAATCCTCACCTAAGGATATTTTTGGAGAGCTTGGAAGGGAGGGAGGAAGAGAGGGAGAGAGAGAGGGAAAGAAACATCTACGTGAGCGAGGCACATTGATCAGCTGCCTCCCACACACGCCCTGACTGGGGCAGGGCACCGAACCTGCAACCCAGGTATGTGCTCTTTTTTGTTGTTGTTAATCCTCGTCCGAGGATATTTTTCCATTGATTTTTAGATAGAGTGAAAGGGAGGAAGGGAGAGAAACAGAGAGAGACACATCCGACGTGAGAGAGACCCATCAGTTGGTTGCCACTCGCACAACCCCAACCAGGACCAGGGACAAACCTGCCACCCAGGTACGTGCCCTTGACTGGAAACCGAACCTATATGACCCTTTGGTGTATGGGCCAACACTGTAACCACTGAGCAACACCAGCTAGGGCAATAAGAATCTCTTTTTAAAATCTCAGCTATTCTGCCCTGGCTGGTTTGGCTGAGTAGATGGAGTGTCGGCCCACGGAACAAAGAGACCCAGGTTCGATTCCAATCAAGGGCACGTACCTTGGTTGCGGTTCGACCCTGGCCCTGGTTGGGGTTGTGTGGGTGGCAACCAGTCGATGTGTTTCTCTCACATCGATGTTTCTCTCTTTCTCTCTCTCTCTCTCTCTCCCTCTCTCCCTCCCACTCTGTCTCAAGATAAATGTAAAAAAAAAAATATCCCCAGGCAAGGATTAAAAAAAAAATCTCAGCTATTCTGTGTTCTCATCCCAAAACTACACAACTCCCTCTTTTCTTACATAGATTGTGAACAAACGACCACAGGAAGCTAAACAAAGGAGCAGGTGCCTCAAGAGCAGCAATGTTTACAAGATGAGGGCTTTGGGCATTGTTAAGCTGAACAGATGTTAGGCAAGTGACGTGGCTTCCCATACATCAGGATCTGGTTTGAGGAACTTTAACCATACCATAAGAAATTCAAAATTTTATTCAAAGAAAACTGAGCACCATTATTGGAGTCTCTTTACTCTAGGGGAGAAGCGGGGACGCCTTCTTCTTCCACTAGTGTATCCGTCAGACCACTAGGCCATGACATCTCACACTGCAACACAGGTCAACACCCTTGGATGTCTCCTAAAAAATCCTCACACCCTAGGGCTCCCTCAGGACTTATGTCCCAAGAGACTCATTTTTTACTGCAACACTGCATGGCCTCAGTACAATGGGTCACAATAGCCTGAAACGGCACTTTCAACATTCTACCAACCTAGACAATTTCCGTCAAAGGCAAGGAAAATGGTCTGAGGTTCCTTACATCCAGGCTGCTTTGCACTCAGATCATACCCCCTTTATGTGACTCTTGCTCCCCATCCCAAATCTTCCTGCTGTGCTCTAATCCTCCCCAGCCTCCCTCTGAAGACAGTGGGCAAACTTCTCCTGTTTCCTCCTTTGACTCAGCGATCTCCCTCCACCACCTCCTCCCTCAGTCCTTCCAGCAGGGCCTCCTTCTCCAGCCCCTTCTGTGAGCCCCCACCCTACCCTGAACCTCCTACTCCGGCTCCAACTCTCTCTCTCTCTCTCTCACACACACACACACACACACACACACACACGTGCACATGATCAGGAACCATCGCTGGTCCCTATCAGTCCCCTACCTCAGTCCCCAGTTTAGAATGCCCCCACCCCCCAGGGAAGCAGCAGGAGCTGAAGGGACTGTCAACTCTGATGGCAGCAGGTAGGCCAATTTCATTAATTGATACTGGGGCAACCTACTTTGCCCTCCCTGAATTTAGGGGACCTCTTCGACACTCTGGGGTTTCAGTTGTGGGAATTGATGGCCAAATATTGCAACCCAGACACTCACTTGTTCTTTAGGCCCTTACATCTTTCCCCACTCTGTTTTGGTGTTACCAGCCTGCCCCACTCCCTTGTTAGGGCAGGGCATTCTATCTAAACTCCGTGCTACTTTAACCTTTACTCCTTCTCTCCCCACCAACCCCTCTCATTCTTTATTTTGTCTCCTCCAAGAATCTGCTTCCTCTCCTAACATAACTCCCCCCCACCCATGCTCCTCCCTCCCCTTGAGGAGGCAGGGCAGGGTCTGCTGGCCTTGCAGGCCTCTGGTGAAATACCACTACTCTTACCGTTTTTTTTTCACTGACCCAGTGAGGTGAGGGAGAGGATCGAGCCCCAAGGTGCTCTCACTTCTGGCTCCAAGCACTCTGCTGCACCGGCTGGGCGTCACCTGCTCTGGGGAAAGTGCTAAGTGGGGAGACTGACACCTGTCAATCGATAATGCAGGTGTCACCCTGGCCAGTTTGGCTCAGCGGTTAGAGCGTCGGCCCGCAGACCAGAGAGTCCCGGGTTCGGTTCCTGCTAAGGGCACATACCTCGGTTGCAGTTTGTCCCAGGCCCCAGCTGGGGTCGTGTGGGTGGCAACCACTCGATGTCTCTCTCTCAGTAGATGTTTCTCTCTCTATCTTCCTCCCTCCCTATCTCAAGATAGAAAAACAAAAAAGATAATGCAGGTATCCTAAGGCAAGCTCAGGGAGGACAGAAACCTCCTGTGGAGCAGAAGGACAAAAGCTCCCTTGATCTAGATTCTAAATATAGACCATGAAAGTGGACACCACGTATAATCGCTCTCACTATAACCTTATGAGAGGTGTCTGTAAACTAACTCTTCATAATATGCCTAATCCCTGCAATGAGAATTTATATGTGCAAGCTCAGAGAGACTTGATACAACACCAAAAAAATCATACCAAAAAAATTAGTCACTGTCACTATGGTGGCACTAACGCTCTCCTCCCTCTAACATAATTGAATCATTTGAGCCTTACTATGGGTCCATCAAACACCTCCCTAGGCCCAAATATGACTGGACTGCTTTGCCTACCAGCGGGAATGTTTTTAGGTGCACTAGACATTTCGGCCTCCGGGAGAGGAATTGCTATTCAATACCTAAAACCAGAAAAACAGGGTGACTTATGGGCAGTAGGATATGTCACCCCAGCCAATACCTTAATCCATTCCTTCACCCCTAATTCAACCTCATCAAGCCCTGAGCCCAGAATCCATCATAGGACAAAAAGAAGAGTTGGACTCCTCATAACAGGAGTCATAGCTGCAATTACCACCGCAGGGCCTCGTGGAAAGAATTACTTATAATACCTTAATAACAAAAAAAATAACTGCCACCATGGCAAACATAGATAGAAATATAATTTTGGGTACATGCCCTTAGCGGGACCCGAACCCAGGACTCTCTGGTTCACAGACAGACGCTCCGGAGCCAAACCAGCCAGGGCTACTGATGAAACTTTAAAGCTTCTTTCAAAACCCCTCGCTTCTCTTGCCTGCATGGTAATAGATAATTGCATTGCACTAGATCATTTACTAGCTAAAGAAGGGGGCATATACATGATAGCAAATCCATCCTGTTGCTTCTATGTTAACTGGACAGGTCAAGGAGAGGACACAACGAATCCT